GTTTTTGTTATAGTCTTTGTTTTAAAGACTGTTTTGTCTGGTGTAAGTATTACTACCCCAGCTTAGTCTGTTGTCTGCATTTTCATGGGGTATCTTTTTCCATCTCTTTATTTTTAGTCTGTGTGTGTCCTTTGATCAGAAGTGAGTCTCTTGTAGACAGCATATGTAAGGGTCTTGTTTGGTTATCCATTCAGCCCCTGTATGTCTTTTTAAAAAAATATGTTTTATTGATTTTTGTAGAGAGAGGAAGGGAGAGAGAGATAGAAACATTGATCGGCGGCCTCCTGCAGGCCCCCTACTGGGGATGGAGCCCCCAATATGGGCATGTGCCCTGACTAGGAATTGAACTGGGACCTCTTAGTCCATGGGATGATGCTAAATCCACTGAGCCACACTGGCCAGACTACTGTATGTCTTTTGATTAGAGCATTTAACCCATTTACATTTAGAGTAATTGTTGATATGTATTTATTGCCATTTTATTCATATTTTTTATCTTTTGTATTTTGTTTTTTTCCTTCTTCTTAAACAAGATCCTTTAATATTTCTTGTATTACTGGTTTGGTAGTGATGAACTCCTTTAGCTTCTTCTTGTCTGGGAAATGCTTTATCTCTCCTTCAATTCTAAATGATAGCCTTGCTGGATAGAGTAATCTTGGTTGTAGGTCCTTGCTTTTCATCACTTTGAATGTTTTGTGCCATTCCCTTCTGGTCTGCAAAATTTATTTTGAGAAATCAGTGGACAGTCTCATGGGAGCTCCTCTGCAGGTAACTAACTGCTTTTCTCTTGCTGCTTTTAAGATTCTGTCTTTGGCCCTGGCTGGTTTGGCTCAGCGGTTAGAGCGTCGGCCTGCGGTCCAGAGAGACCCGGGTTCGGTTCCCGCTAAGGGCATGTACCTCGGTTGCAGTTTGTCCCCGGCCCTGGTTGGTCGTGTGGGTGGCAGCCACTCGATGTGTCCCTTTCACATCAATCTTTCTTTCTCTCTCTCTGTTCCTCTCTCCCTCCCGCTCTATCTGAACAAAAAGTGGAAAAATATCCTTAGGTGAGGTTAAAAAAAAAAAAAAAAAGATTCTGTCTTTGCCTTTAAGCTTTTGCTTTTTGATGGTGATGTGCCTTGGTGGGGCCTCTTGGGGTCCATCCTGTTTGGGACTCTCTGTGCTTCCTGGACTTGTGTGTCTGTTTCCTTCACCAGTTTAGGGAAGTTTCTCATCATGATTTCTTCAAATAGTTTTTCAATCCCTTGCTCTCTCTCTCCTCCTTCTGGCCCCCCCATGATGTGAATGTTAGTATACTTGAAGTTGTCCCATAGGCTCCTTCCACTGTCCTCAATTTTTTGGATTCTTATTTTCTTTTTGCTGTGCTGATTGGGTGTTTTCTACTTCCTTATTGTCCACATTGCATATTTGATCCTCTGCCTTCATGTATTCTACTGTTGATTACCTGTAATATATCTTTTTTTGTTGTTGTTGTTAATCCTCATTTTTCCATTGATTTTTAGACAGAGTGGAAGGGAGGGAAGGAGGGAGAGAGAGAAACATTAATGTAAGAGAGAGACATTGATTGGCTGTCTCTAGTATGACCCTGACCAGAGCCAGGGATTGAACCTGCAACCCAGGTATTTGCCTTTGACCAGGAATCGAACCTGCGACCCTTTGGTACACAGGCCTGTGCTCTAGCCACTGAGAAAACTGGCTGGGGCCTGTAATACATTCTTCATTTTAGTTAATGATTCTTCATTTTGGACTTCTTTTAATGTTTTCTATCTCTGTTTTTATGTTTCCTATCTCTTTGTTGATGTTCTCACTAAATTTCTCTACTCCTCCCCTAAGTTCATCTAGCATCCTTTTAATCAGTGTTTTGAACTCTGCATCTGGTAGATTACTTATCTCCATTTTGTTTAGTTCTTTTTCTGGAGATTTGTTCTGTTCTATCATTTGGGACATGCTTCTTTGTCTCCTCATTTTGGCAGCCTCTCTGTGTTTGTCTCTATGTATTAGGTAGAGCTGCTACATCTTTTGGGCTTGGTAGAGTGGCCTCATGTAGTAGGTGTCCTGTAGGGCCCATGGCTTAGCCTCTCCGGTCACCTGAGCTGGGCGCTCCAGGTGTGCCCCTCTGTGGGCTGTGTGCACCCTCCTGTTGTGGCTGAGCCTTGATTGCTGCTGGCAAGTCAGTGGGAGGAACTTATTCCCAGGTCGGAAGGCTGCAAGGACTTGCCTTGACCAGTGTGGAGAATCTGCTTTGCAGGGGCCAACCCCAGGGAGCAGGACACACTTCACCTGGGCTCTGGTGTCTGCTGGGTCCACCCCTTGAGTGTGTCCCTTGTGGAAGAGCTTGGGTGGTCTGCAGCAGTCCACCACGTCTACTGACTCGGGCCTCCCAGGAGGTGCAGGCCAAGGTCAGCTGCTGCCTGGGCCCTGCCTGGGGCCACCCGGCACGAGCTACAAGGCATCTCCAAATGGCTGCTACTTGTGCTGGGCTCGTAAGGGCCTGGGAGAGGCTACGCTGGGGCAAAGGCTGCTGCTGCCAGTGTGGGGCTGGGCCACTGGGCGAGGGGCAGGGGTATGCGAGGGCGACTGCCGCTCATTTGAGCTGTTTAGGGAAGTCCACAGCATTAGTCAGGGCAGGCCGTTTGCGTGGAAAAGTCACTGGAAACACCTTGGCTGGACCCGCAGTTGGGTGGGGCAGGGTCTCGGAATCGCCAGGGTGGGGTGGGCGAACAGTGTTAGGCAGGTTGATGGAGACGTAGATAGGGTGCCCACCTGCCAGTTCTGTGGGGGAGCTTGGCAAAGGTCAGTGGCCTCTGCCAGCACTCTGTCTGGGGGAAGCTGCCCCTCCAGCTCTCTCCTCCCCGCAGGTCCCTGGTGCCTTCCGAGCTCAGAGCATGAGTCTGAGTAGGTCCGCGCACGGCCCCTTAGGAAGAGGCCGGGCCCAGCAGCCTCCACCTCACTCGGCCGCAGTCCCTGCTGCTTTCCACAGCCAGAGTTATGGGGACCCCTGGCCCTGGCGCTGAGCCCGGGCTGGCGCTCTTCAGTGGGGACCTCCAAAGCCGAGATGTCCCTTCCAATAAAAAAAAACATTTTATTGATTTTGAGAGAGAGAGGAGAGGGAAGAGAGATAGAAACATCGATGAGAGAGAACATTGACTGGCCGCCTCTTGCATGCCCCCCACTGGGGATGGGCCCACAACCTGGGCATGTACCCTGACCGGGAATTGAACCTGCGACCTCCTGGTGCAGGGTCGATGCTCAACCACTGAGCCACACCAGCCGGGTGCTTTCCGATTTTTAACTCTAGATGTGAGTGTGGGACCAGCCAGCTCTGTGTCTCCTCCCCGTCCCCAGTCTTGATGTGGCCTCTTCATCACGTTTATTACAGCGTTTCTGTTCAGCTCTATTTCAGGGGTCCTGGGTGATGGCCGTTCTGTGGTTTAGTTGTCATTTCGGTGTGGTTGTGGGAGGTTCTGAGCACTGGCTATACCTGTGGCTGCTACTGGGACTGGAAGCTGGGGTGATGCTTTTCATGCTCCTGTTTCAGAAATGTTTCTCTATCGTGAAGTCGTGAAAGATACTTTTCTTATTTTCTAAAGCTTCAGAGATTTGCCTTTCACATTGGATCTGTACCCTATCCAGCTGCTGCTTTGTGTGTGTGGCATGGTGTAAGTTGAGGGTTTAGTTTGATTTGTTTTTTCCCCCTAACTATACTCCCAATTCTTCCACTGCTGTTGTTGGAAAAGGCCCTTCCTCTGTGATTAGTTAAGTGTCCATATATATGTGGGTCTCTTTCCAGACTTTTCTGTTTACTAATCTATTTGTCTTTTACAGATAAGGAAAAATCTATGTAAATAGAAGGTACAAAATGGTAGGAATAAATGCAAATTATCACTCATTATAACAAATACAAAATGGATCAAACTCACAAGTTAACCACAACATCTACTCTCTGTTCTTTCAGAGACTATTTAAAACATGAGAACTCAGAAAAGTTGAACGTAAAGGTGGTGGAAGGAGTGACCAGCCTGGCCAGTGTGCCTCAGTTGGTTGAACGTTGTCCCTTGCCCTGGAAAGTTGCCCGTTTGATTCAAACCAGGGCACGTGCCTGGGTTGTAGGTTTGGTCCCTGGTGGTGCGCCATGCATGGGCAGCCGGTCAGTGTTTCTCTCTCTCTCCCTCCCTCTCTCTCTGAAATCAGTAAATCCATATTTTAAAACATTAAAAAAAAAAAATTACCAGGCAGATTCTGAGAGTCCCGCATTTGTATGAGAAGAAAAGGTTTCTCAGCCCCATGCTTTGCAGGGTCCAGGGCCTCTCTGCTCCTGTCCCCTGGGGGTGGTGCAGAGTCCCTGCCCCGGTGTCACCTCCCAGGGCAGCCGCCGTCTTTGTGTCCCGCGGGGGATTTTCTTACGCTGTTGTGAAGGAAGCCTTGCATTTCAGAGGAATCTGCCATATTTCATCGGGCATTTTTTAGGCTTTGTGTGGGTGTCCCCCTCCCCCCTTCCTGCCTCAGTTGTTGAGTCTGTTATGTGTTGTCTGAATCATTAGTCTCCCATGTGGCTTTAGGAACCCACCCTTCTGGGGGACCACTGAGAAGGTCAACTGATTGCCTGTGGGCAGGGGTCATGGATCCTTTGTTTTCATCCTCACCCGGGGACATACATGCATTTATCTTCAGATAGAGCCGGAGGGAGAGAGGGGGCAAGAGAGAGAAACATCGACGTGAGAGAAACACATCGGGTGGCTGCCACCCACACGACCCGAACAAGGGCCGGGGACAAACTGCAACCGAGGTCCGTACGTGCCCTGAGCGGGAACCGAGCCTGGGCCTCTCCGGTCCGCGGGCTGACGCTCTAACCGCTGAGCCGAACCGGCCAGGGCTGGGCCCTTCCTTAGGTTCTTGTCCGTCGCTCACATTTGCGCAGAAGCGCATATTTCATGACTTTTAAACCTGAAAAAGGGAATTGTGCTAAAGACCTCCCGGTACCAGCCCTGTTTCCGTCGCTGCAGGTGGTGCGGCTGTGCCAGAACCCGAAGCTGGCGCTGAAGAACAGCCCGCCCTACATCCTGGACCTGCTGCCCGACACCTACCAGCACCTGCGCACCGTGCTGTCGCGCTACGAGGGCAAGATGGACACGCTCGGCGAGAACGAGTACTTCCGCGTGTTCATGGAGAATCTGACCAAGAAGACGAAGCAGACCATAAGCCTCTTCAAGGAGGGGAAGGAGAGGATGTACGAGGAGAACTCGCAGCCTAGGTAACGGGGCGCTGCGCGCGCAGTGTGGGTCCAGGCCTGCGGCTGCCTGCGGGCGACGCTTTCCTTTCGGGCCGCGGGGTGCGGAGTTGGCCCTGCACCGTGCAGAGGTGGCCTTGGAGGACGGGGGGCTGTCCCTGGCGGCAGCAGGTGTGTTTGCCTGTGACAGTCGGTGACTCACGGCCCCTCAGAGTCCCTGCACTTCACGGACATTTGTGATAGACGAGGGGTCGAGGGGAAGAGGTTGGGATTCCGCTCGGTGGGAGGAGGTAGTCAGAGGTCAGATTTTCCAGAGCTGCGCCTGCGAGGCGAGTTGTGAGTGCGGGGTGACAGGGGAACATTGAGCCCGTAGTTGAGATAACGTTTACAAATAAAGTGTAGTGAAATGACATTTCTTTTATTTGTAAAGTGACTTTTCAAATAGACAAGATTTTGGCAGTGCAGTTAATTTAATACTTATTTCAGGTATTCCTATGTACTCTTCTGTTCTTATTCAGCACTGAAAACTGTATTGTCTATTCTGTGTTATTAGCTCGGCTGCTGGAAATTACACACGGGAGAGAAGTAGGTTGAGTCATGTGTGGGTATAGTGGTGTTCGATTTTATTCAGTTGAAAATAAGTATTAACTCATCTACAACAAGTAAACAGTATAAATCCCACTAGGACTTTGTAGGGAATGAATTCTCTCGAGGGGTGATCTGAATGGGGGACCGTGATTTCTGAGGGCGTGAAGTGGGCACACCCACCGCTCCGCTGGCTCTGTTGTTTCAGATTCTTCGAACCCTTGTCTTACACTTAGCATTTTAGTCACGTCATTATTCCGTTATCTTGACTACCACAGATGACTCAGGCTTGGTCTAGGATGGCAGCCTTTTTCTTCTTAAAATAATTTCTGGTGCTTGAATTCAGTGTGTCGGAACCTCTGTAACTTCTAGTTTATATGAAAATGAACTTCGTGCCTTTTAATTAATTTAATGACTTTTGTTAAAACCTTGACTGTACGGACCTTAGCTAATTAGTCATTTTGTTTTGTTGAGTTAAAAAGTAGTAATTTGTCCAGCCGGTGTGGCTCAGTGGTTGAGCGTCGACCCTGCACCAAGAGGTCCCAGTTTGATTCCCGGTCAGGGCACACGCCCAGGTTGTGGGCCCGTCCCCAGTGGGGGGCGTGCAGGAGGCGGCCAGTCCATGTTCTCTCTCATCGATGTTTCCATCTCTCTCTCCCTCTCCTTCCTCTCTAACATCAGTAAAGGGAAAAAATAGTAATTTTACTTCATCAGGTACCAGGACTTCCAAAAGGTAGTCGCACCTGCCATGGATGTGGGCTCTGCCCACCTTCTGGGAGGTGCAGAGAGGGGGCACCGCCTCGATGCGACGTGGCCAGCGCTTCCCCAGAGACAGGCGCGGCCCACTGTGAGTGTGGCTCTGCTCGCTGCCCCCAGGAGCGCGGCACGGGCTGTGTTACCTGAGCCGGGTCTTAAAGGGCAGGACTCTAGTAGGCAGCAGAGGGGAGAAAAGGCCTTAACACAGGGCATGGAAAGGCAGACCCTGCCTGTGTACGGGACACGCGCATCCGGTGGCTGGAACTGGGGGACGCAGGCTGGCAGTACGGGTTGAGTGAGATCGTAAAGAGCTGTCCTCTGAGCACTGGACCTTCTCCCGTGGATCACAGCTGCCGTAGAAGACTTTTTCTAAAAGAGCGTTTTCTTTAAAGATTTTTAAAAATTGATTTTTACAGAGAGAGTAAGGAAGAGGGAGAAAGAGAGAGAGAGAGAGAAACATTGATGTGAGAGCAAAGCGGTGATCAGATGCCTCCGTACATCCTCGAACCTGCAACCCCAGCATGTACCCTGAGCAGGAGTCAGACCAGGAATCGAATGCAGCCGCTGACGGGACAGCCGCCGGAGCCACACAGGCCAGGGCGCAGTTTTATACCGAAATAAAGATGACAGATCTTCAGGTCTCGGAGCACACTGACCACTGCTGAACCTTTTTTTCGTGAACAGTAGCGCGTTAGGGGCAGTGTGTACTGGTTAAGGGTGGACTCTGAAGCCTCCTCCAGAGTTTGAGTCTTCACTTTCCCACTTACCTCGTTGTGTGGTCCTGCAGTGCCCTCATCTGTAAAATGAGATGATAGTAGTACTTCCCTTGTAGGGCTGTTGGGAGCTATTAAATGAGTAACTAAGTGTTTAGTACTTTCCACAGTGATTAGCACATTCGAAAGTGACAAGTGGGTTCGCTCTTGTTATCTTAATCATCGTTATTTCATTACTATAAACGTAGATTATTGTATCTGCCATGTATCAGTGCTACCGCCAGGAACAGGTGAAGACCAGTTTGCCCTTACTACTGCCTTACGCTGGCAAGGTCTTCTGTGTCTTTCAAAGCCTTCCTGTCACGATGTCTGTAGCAGCTTTATGCTCCCTGCTTGGAAGCTGTGAATCCATCAACCAGGTTCGTACAAATTATATGCAGAGCGAGAATAATTAAATCTCAGGTGAAAATCAGATCCTTATGTATATAGTTTTAAATATATGTTATTGATTTTTTTAGAGAGAAGAAGGGAGAGGGAGAGATAGAAACATCAAAGTGAGAGAGAAACATGGGTGGGCTGCCTCCTGCATGCCCCCCACTGGGCATGGAGCCCACAACCCAGGCATGTGCCCTGACTGGGAATTGAACCAGCAGCCTCCTGGTGCTGGGACAGCACTCAGCCACCGAGCCACACTGGCTGGGCTGAAAATCAGCTATTTTTAATAGAGGAAAATATATGGCTTCACTATGGGATCTTTGTGATCTGTATTTTGGTTGCTTAGAGGCTTTTTTTTCCTATTGAGTTTTTAAATTGAGATGTAGTTCACATACCATAAAATTTACCCCTTTAAAGTATACAGTGCACTGGTATTTATCTATCTCTCTATTTATATCTATCTATCTATCTATCTATCTATCTATCTATCTAGTTAATCCTCACGAGGATATTTTTCCCTTGATTTTTAGATAGAGTGGAAGGGACGGAGGAAAGGGGGGGGGAGAGAAACCTCAATGTGAGAGAGACACACTGATTGGTTGCCTCCCACATGACTTTGTCGGGGGCCAGGGATGGAACCTGCCAAGCCCAGGTACATGCCCTTTACTGGGAATCGAACCTGAGACCCCTTGGTTCTCGGGCCAGCGTTCTGACCTCTGAGCCAAACAGTCCAGGGCTGCACTGGCTTTCAGTGTGTTCACAAAGCTGTGCACTGTCAGCAGAGTCTAATTCCAGAGTATTTTCATCACCCCAGAAGGAAACCCTGCACTCATTAGCAGTCACTCCCTACTCCCCAGGCTGGCCTCCCCTCCCCCAAGCCCTTGGCAATCACTAATATTCTGCTTCTGTTGATCTGCCTGTTCTTAAAATCCCATGTAAGTAGGATCATATAGTAGTAGCCTTTTTTTTTTTTGGCTTCTTTCACTTAGCATGTTTTCACAGTTCATCCATGCTATAAGTAGCATGATCAGTACTTTATTTATTTATTTATTTTTTTCCATTTTTTGTTCAGATAGAGTGGGAGGGAGAGAGAGGAAGAGAAAGAGAGAGAGAAATACCGACGTGAAAGGGACACATCGAGTGGCTGCCACCCACACAACCCAACCAGGGCCGGGGACAGACTGCAACCAAGGCATATGCCCTTAGCGGGAACTGAACCCAGGTCTCTCCAAACCGCAGGCCGACGCTCTAACCACTGAGCAAGACTGGCCAGGGCTATTTCTTTTAATGGCTAAATAATATGTCATTGTATGGATATATGCCACATTTTGAATATGGACGTTTTGGTTGTTTCCACTTTTTTTTTTTTTTAATCCTTACTCGCGGACGTTTTTGCATTTATCTTCAGATAGAGGGTGGGGGGGGGGAGAAAAAAACATTGATGTGAGAGAGACACACCGAGTGGCTGCCACCCACACATCTTCAACCAGGGCCAGGGATAAACTGCAACCGAGGTACATGCCCTTAGTGGGAACCAACCCAGGACTCTGTAACCGCTGAGCAAAATCAGCTAGCGCATGTTTTCACTTTTTAAAAATGTTTTTTTAAGTTGAGTTTTTAGAGAGAGGAAGGAAGAGAGCAATAAAAACATCGATGTGAGAGAGAGACATCAATTGGCTGCCTCCTGCATGCCCCCTCCTGGGGATCAAGCCGGCAACTCGGGTGTTTGCCCTGACCGGGAATCGAACCGGTGACCTGTCAGTCCGTGGGACGATGCTCAACTACTGAGCCACACCGGCTGGGCTGTTTCCACTTTTGACTATTATAGATCATGTTGCTATGAACATTTTTTTTACGAGGTTTTGTGTGGTGGCATGTTTCAGTTCTCTTGGGTATAGCCCGGAGTGGAATTGCTGAATTATGTGGTAATTTTATGTTAACATTTTGAAGAACCACCAAATTGTTTTCTCTAGCAGCGGTACCATTTCACATTCCCCAAGCAATGTATGAAGGCTCCAGTTTCTCACCAGCACTATTATTGTTTAGTTTTCATCGTTATAGTCACCCTTCTGGCCATCAAGTGGCTATCTCACTGTGGTGTTGATTTTATTTCCCTAGTAAGTAATAATGTGAGCATCTTTTCATGTGTTTATTGACCATTTAAATGTCTTCTTTGGGGAAATGTCTACTCAAATCCTTTGCCCATTTTTGAATTCGGTTATTTGTTTTTTCATTGTTGAGCTATAAATGTGCTTTACGTATTCTGAGTACTACACTCCTGTCGATAGATGATTTTAAACAGCACTGCCAGTCTTGTGGGTCTTCTTCTCACTTTCTTGATAGTATCATTTAAAGCACAATGATACTTCAGATACAAAAGTTTTCAATTTTGATTAAGTCCAATATACTTTCTTTGGTTACTTGTGCTTTTAATGTCATAGCTAAGAAACCATTGCCTAATCCAAAGTCAAGAAGTCTACTCCATGATCATTTCGAGTTATTTTTTATACAGTATATAGTGTCCAGTGAGGGTCT